TCTCACCCGTCTTCCCCTCCACGCCCCCTCGATCTGCCTATGATCACCACACTTTTGCATGTGTAAAGCGAAAAAGACAGCAGTTATTAAATTTTCATTTACTTTTCATTTATTTACTGGGTCACCGTTTAACCAACTCACTTGGAAAGGTTGGAAGCCTTTTGGACAGATAAATCCAATAATGCTAAGCCTCTCTGGATAATCGAAATGGGATACCCAAAAAAAAATGTTGCGGAGATAGTTCAGTGCAAAACATGAAAAAATGTCCCAACTTGGTTAGATTTAAAACAGACTGCTTTGAACAGTTGTTTTTTCGCCATCGCAGTTATCTCGTTATTGATACAGCTGGCACCTTCCCCATCTTTCTCTATTTTATGCATTTTTCATCCATATAATTCCTCTCACATGGAATCGAAGGGCAACTGGGCAAAGTAAAAGTAATTTGCTGTCAGCTTCATTTCCTTGCTGTTAACACCTCCCTTTTGCAACAGAAAAGCTCACTGCTATTAGAATAGTGTTTTACAGGCGGATATTTTAAGCAAATAAAAAAGTTACTTGCACATACGAAACTCAAAAAATTTTATAACCAATATAGTATAGAGTATGAAAACAAATGCACTAGTTTTTTCCCCCAAAAAATTTCCGCAGCTCATCGGCTGCTTTTTTCTCGTGGCATTCCTGAATGTTTATAGTTAATTATTACTGGCATGATGAGCTGCTACCAGATGCCGATGACCACGCGCTGGGGCAAGCAAACATCACAAACCGGTTTGTGCTTGTCCCGCGCATGTTTGCGGAATAGGGTTGTCTAATTAGCCGAACGAAGATGCGGTCAACTTTATTTATATATTCTTTTACCTTATGAATCCAACCAGAATTTCTCTTTTTTTCTGATTTTTCCCGAAAAAAGACGTGCCAGAGCTTCTCGAGCGGAAAAGTGGGAGGGGGAAAGGCAGGAAAACTAAAAATATTAGCGGTTTTGACGAGAGGGGAAAAAAACCTAAAAAGTTATTCATGCTATACATCATCGAGACGATGCAGCAGGAGGAGAACGATGGCTTGCAAAGCAATATTCCACTCCCTCGTTTTTGTCCTCTCCCTCTGCCTGTTATGCTACATCCTGGCAGCTGTTGTTGCCGCACTACAGTTGTTATCAGTGCACACATTGATGTCTTAA